TTGGATATATATATATATATTAGATGTGAAATTTGTTTAATGTTATTTTGTATGTCTTATCAAGTAATAAAATAAGAATTAATCATTTATACATTATTAGTATAAAAAAAATTTACACTGACAATCAATCATATCTTTTAATAATGTCATGTTATTTACTTATTTAATAAAATAAAATAATTTAAAATATATGATTGATTACCGATATAAAAAACTTTATATATTATATGAATAATTAATTTATAAAATAATATCCTAATTAAATTAATCCTTGAATTACATATATCAATCCATTTAGTCCTTAAAATAATATGTCATGTCAATTCTTAAAATTTATTAAACAAACATTATTTGTCCGTATATATTATTAGACAACAATCATTTTAGTTGTTAAAATTACAAAAATAAGACCACAAAAATTATTAATACCTGGAATTATTAATATCTGATATTTTTAAGTTAAAATGATAATTTTATAGATAGTATTATGCTTGGTAGGTCTTAAAGTACTTGATTATTGTATCATGTTTATAATTAGTTTTTTTGTCCGTAAGTTGGATAATGTTTTTTTTTTCTTACCAAAGAAAGCTAAACTATAAACATAATACAATAACCAATTATTTTAAGAATAGGAGTTAAATGATAAATTTGTAAGTGAAAGTGGACTTTTCAATGGAACAATTATAGTTTTTTAGTTTGTTTAGATTTTTTTATAAGTAATTATATGAAAAGAAAATAGAAAAAATAATTTTTTAAACTTATATAAAACTAGTTATGTGTAAATTAAAAATATATTTTTGGATAAATTAATAAAAGAAAATTTCAACTTCAACATATTAATTCATACATAAATTAATCTTATCTTGTAATTTCTTTTTTCTTATTTTTTTTCTTCATAAAAGTGGTTATATAAAAATTTATCTTTATATATCTTCAATCGAAGGAAGGATCTAGTGCTCTTGTGAAAAGTGTAAGTGCATGAAGGTTGCAACTCCACGTAAGATCATATTGCTATGAAGAGTATTGTCATTTATTATTATTTTTTTTTTCTAGATAACATGTCATATATGTTAGATCATTTTCCTGAGATACGTGATCTTCCTGCTTTACAAAAATCATTTTCCTAATCAATAAATAATTATTTTGGTTAGTAGTCTAAAGCTTAAGCTTTAATTCTCTTATTCTTAAAAACCTCTGATAGATAATACTGGTAACAAAATTAATATATATACTTAAAACTTATATACAATGCTCAAAGTTTCAAACATCATAAATTAATCGTGTAATCCTGGTGAATAATAGATGTCAATTCTAGAGCGTCAACTTGTTAATGTTTTCGGCAAAACCAGTAAATCACTAAGTAAATGTTTAAATTGACAGTGACTTCATGATGCATCATAGTTGGATTAGCTAGAAGAAGAATAAATTTTCAATTAGCGGTTTAAGATCTTATTAAATGACACACACCTCTTTAATTTTTAAATATTATTCATTTATGTAATTAGTTAAAGTTGAAAAAAAGTTAATTTATATTACATATACGAGTCTTATTTATTATTTTTGAATTATGTATAATGCTATATGTCTTTTTTAAAAAAAATTCATTATTCTTTAATTTTGAAAATAATAATTTTTTAACTCATTTTTTAAAATTACTTCTTGAAGTTGATATATTTTTTATATCACAATAAATATGATATTTATGATATAATTTAAGAATTAAAATTAAATAATAAATTAAGTTTCATTCAATTATTAACACTTATATTAATAATTTGTTATCTCTTAATAGTACATAATTGATATTATTTTATATATGTTACTTATATAAATAAATAAGAGGGGTTAATGTTGACTTAAAACTAATAACAATGTGTATATCATTTAAAAAACAAAAAAACAAAAAAAACAAAAAAACAGAAGGGTTCACCGCAATTTTTCCTCGGCAAAAATCATAGTGCAGTTGAAGCAACATTGAGTTGTTATTACTTCATCTAAAATCAATTTTAAACATTTAATTGATATATTTTTCTCTCATTTATCCTTATACTGTACTTTTTAACTTAAGTATCTTTGTGTTTAATGTTTATGGTAATTTAATAGTTTTATTATCTATTTCATCCATTTTTAATTTTTCTTATAAGAGTTATGAGTTCTATTTCAAAATTAAAAAACTTATATATATATATATATATATAT